GTCAGGTCGGGAATGATTACTTCCGTGCTTCTGCCATTTCGGGCGTCATTGCCTCTGCTGGGGCAGAACCGTCACTGCTCTTTTTGTCGGAGCCGTCTCTGTAACTGGAGATGACGGTGGCAGGTGGCCGTTGAAGTGCGGCCGTCAAGCGTCAGATCCCAAGTTAGTCAGGTGCACCGCCCCTGGATACGGACTCCCTTCGGTGTCATGTACGGTGTGGTTTGTCTAGTTCAATGCTCCGGAGGCGAAGTGCTTGGAGCAGTGTGCGAGGCGAAGTCTTGAGTTCAGATAGGGGGGTGTCCCGAACTGCCATGAGACCGGCCAGTTCGGGTCACTGCTTTGTGTGGCCCGGGGCCAAAGGAAGAGTTCGGGCTCCTCGTAGGGAGGTCGGGCCCCTTATAGGGAGTTCGGGCTCCTCTTAGGGAGTTGGTCTCCTCGAGGGGAGTTCGGACTACTAGTCTCTTCCCTTTGGTGTTTACACCCTGGGTACGCTGCTTTAAGTGCCGAACTATTTGTTTTTTGCCACATGGCGTGATTGCGAGGTCAAGTCAAATCTTCCTTCATCAACTTGTATGTATACACTTTTCAAACTAAGCCTTCAGAACATAATCTTTGTTTTAGTTTTAGAAACAAAAAATTCATACGTAACCAAGAATATATTTTGTGTATTCTTGTTCTGACAACCAATTTGTTTTCAAATCATATGTTTTTTTGTTTTTCAAAACCTGCAACAAAAAATATAATTGACATCAGAGAACAACTCCAAAATGTTCTCTGGACCTAAGGCTGCGTTGGGTTGGAGTGCAAATGCTGAACCGTTACAAATTTGTAATCCGGTTCAGATTTGCATCCGTTTGGTTAGGCTTCACAAAAGCATGGATTTTTTATGCAAAATTGTATGTAGGCTTGGGTTTGAATCGAAAACAGGAGAAAATATTGTTTTCTCAAAATGAAAGAAAAAATTTGCTCCTCTCGACCAACGAAATAGGTATTGTGGTTGTATCAATTTTGAGGGTTTTTCTCCAAAAACCTCGAAGAGAGAGTGACAGGAGAACGACGAACAGAGAGAGAGAGAGAGAGAGAGGAGAAGGAATGACTCTGGACTTAGCTCTGCTGATCTCCACGAATTTGTTCCCATTTTGATATTTTGTTTCTCATTTCATTTTTTTTTTTTCCGTTTTCAGGTCATTACCTCACTAGAAGAGAGAGCTTCTCAAAATCCATTGTTTGCCTTCGTTTTTAGAGAGGTAATCTGAGCTACCTTCATTTCTTGGTTGCATATTTGGATTGGTAGCTCATCTACCTTCGTTTTTAGAGATCTTCTCCATGAATCTGCTGAACAATGACTTCTCCAAATCCATTGTTCACATATTCCAATGCATAGGAATGGGTCTTTCATCATTGTTCTTAGTGGATCAACTAGTAATTCTAAGTGGTTCTGTTTGTAACACATAAGAAAGCTAAAAGAAGGAAATTCATCCATGCAGATAAAATTGAGATCTTAATTAGTGGATAACCTGCAGTAGCTCTGTTGTCAGTCAAGGTGTATAACAGCAGGGAATTCCAGATTTCAAGGTTAAAGCCTTGGGCAATCCATGAGAATCTAAAAGTTGAAATAATCAATACAATTGAATGGAGAAACTAGTAACAGTACACTTCCTAAACATTAATTCTCTTATCAACCAAGGCACAGTGGCTGCAGCAATGAAAAGCTTCAATGATTAATAATGTTATGCCTGACACTTTAATATATATTTCAAGTATTTGGACAATTTTTTTTCAGAACATTATGTCCGTAGTTCTGTACAGAATACACCCTTTCATGTCCTTTTTTAATTTTTTGACATTTTGTAGCTGACTCAGGTAAAACATCAATATCGTATCAGGTAAATTCTTTTTTTTTTCTTTTTTGGTAATATAATCAGATAATTTCAAGTGAAAGAAAATTGGACAGTGTCTATCATATTGGACTTAAAGTGGATAAATATAGCAATTGATTACCCATTCCTCACACTTTTTTTCTCTGTTGTTTCTTCATCCAAGTATCTCCTAGTCAAGTTTCTTTTCATATTCAATTGCTTGGATCTGAACAGTATGCTTCTTGCCTCTAAGATGTTGCCTGAAGCACAATTCATTCATGCATGGGACACTACACAATTTGCACCACAATATCTGGTCGCCTTTCCCTCCACCACTCCCGACTTTCCTCCAACTCTTTTAATTTGGCTTTATGTTTACTACCTTCAAAGTGCTGCTTGAGATAAAATGCACCTGAGAATTGCACCTAGCAGACCTTACAAAAAAGGTTGCTCGATTGATTTTGATAGGGTTTGTGATGGTCGAGGTTGTTGTGGTGGCAATCATTTAAGGTTACTGGATGGGTGGGCAGGTGGGTTTTCATGGGGTTGGCAACTAGAAGAGGGTTGAGGTTGTTGTGGTGGGAATCATTGAAGATTATTAGATGGGTTGTTAATAGGTGAGTTTTGATGGGGTTGGCAACTATGAACCAGGTGTGGTAGTGGTAGCAAGGATTGGAGGTTGCTGGATGGTGCTTTCCTCTTCAATCCCACCGAGCTTGGAATTGAAGATATCCCCTAGAGTAAGAAGTAATGCATAAGAAAACAAAGGATTAAGAAGCACACCTATTTTGCTATTCAGCAATACACAAAATCATAACATTCATTCAACAAGAAAAAACATAAAAGAACAGGAAACACCATTCCATAAGACAACCATTTGCTATAATGTAGTATCTTGCCATCTTCTATGACATTATTTCATGCCCAATTTTACATACATCAACATGTATATTTCCCCCAATACACATCATGGACCATCTAACTCTTGCCATTGTGTCTGTGTACCATAACCTTGAAGAAAAACGCTTTAAATATAAGCTAGCTACATATACTCCAAACTTCTAAAAACCCAATTTTATCCTGCTAAAAACCCTGGTACCCTCAACTGCAAATATTAAGATCACAAAAGTCGGACAGCAGACCTCAGAGAGAAGTATTGAAGCTCTCCAGATGAATATTGGTAGGTATATATTTTAGAGGGAATCCATGCCAACAGAGCCACCTTAAGTTCTTGGGGAAATATTCATAGCTTCCCTTGATAACAGAGCCACCTTCAGCTGCTTCAGTTCCCTGATAACAGAAAACATTAATTGGATTAGTGCAAATTAACGTCCATGTCAATTCAAAATATAATAACAATAAAAAGGTAGGGAGTAGGATCAATTTCAGGAATTGGAAGTTTGGAACATGAATTAATGTCCACTAGCTTTACTTCCTAGATCGAACAAGGAAAAGAAGATAAAGCATGTTCTGGGTCCTCTATACATGAGAGTTAAGAATGGTAGCTGACCCCAAGTAAACCAATGCTTGCTATATATCTGTGAACACCAATGCCTAAGCTTATAAATTACATGTGTCAGACAAATAAGTTAGTAGTCTATATTAATCATTTGATAAATATGAGATGAAAAGTTTACTAGTGAAATGATAAAGCTCCCACAAGAATCAACTTAAGATTGGAGATTGTAGAAATTGTCAATTATTTTAGAACCTCCCTAAAAATAAAACACTTATCATTCCCTTGAAAACCTCCCTAAAAATAAAACTATGAAACATTATGGGTGATTGCGGAAAGCACATAAAATATGACAAACTATCAAGCAAATTTCAGAACTTTTAGTTTGCTTAATCTTTCATTCATCTGTCTAGTAGGAGTTCCTCTTCATGAAGTTGATTCTTCTCTACCTGTAGTTAAAAGCAAAAGGTAAAAAGAAATGCATATATTAGCTGCAACAATTAGAAGGGATACAAATACATTATTTAGCAGTTGGTGTACCTGTAGATTATTTACACATTGAATTCCTCATAGACTTGTTAGTGTATCTTTAAGAATCTGAAGTAATTAAAGATGCAGTGTGCATCTTGAATGGGAATATTGAACTAGGTTTATGTTCTAGGAAAATCGAAATAAAAACTATAAAAAATTAGCACCTAGACCTACTAATAAATAATAGATAATCTGAACCATAAGTTGGTTGTTCAACTTCAATGTTTTTCACTTGTATCATTATTTTTTTAATTTTTCTCTAATTATGTTATATGTTCTATAAGATATCTGTCATGCACTAGCTGCTTTTTAATTTTTTTTCTTATGTTATATGTTATGTGTTCTATAATCTACCCACAAAAGGACATGCACAAATAAAACTAAGACAACCTGTATGGACTATGAATCAAAACCAAAAACAAGAGGAGTGTATTGTTTAGAACTCAAACAGGTCAATGGTCTTTATGCTTTGTGAATTGCACTTGTGTCATAGCCGTATGAAGCTAGAGTTAAAAGGGTTTTTGGGATACAATGTAAAAGGCTTTTGGCATACCTGGGGAGCCTCCTTTTCATAGCCTTGATTAGAATGTCTTGTTGTGACTGATTGGTTAATTGATTAATGATTTATTTCTATGATTCAGCTTGATGACTATAATCACCAAGGTCTCAATGTAATGAGTTTAGCCTAATATTCTTGTGTATAAATATGTGGATTTTAAATTCCTTTCTGCATAAACAAGAATTAAAATCACTATTCTTCCTTGCATGCTATGATTCTTTGCCTTTTTCTACTTCATATTGGAGATGTAGGCGATGATTGGTTGAGTTCACATCCTCTGTACCTTTGGTACAGAGAATTTTCTGTATTGGACTAAGGGGATCGGGGGTCAAACATTCACTAAAATATACTAGCCCCAAAGCACAGGGTACTAATATACAACTTACCCTTTTGTAGCCACCTCAAACTCTGGAAGAATGAGAACCTAATCCATGATCCTTTTCCCGCTAAGTAGAATGATATGGGTCGTTATGTATTGAATGGGGTTCTTCTCCTGTCATTCTTCTCATAATAAAGCCCAAATTGGAAGGGGAAATTAGAAAAACATTTTTTTTGTTTGATGTATATATATATTTGTGATTGGTAACTAATAAAATGAGATGAAAATGATGCTTGTAGTAGACCTTTATCATTAATTTGTTGAATGTTGAGTTGAAGGCGCCTGAAGAAAGTACCATATTAGCTCATCATCTGTCAAATATGGAAAAGAGCAACCTTCCGTGTTGAGCTGAATTAGGAAGTGATTGCCTCGGAGCATATGTGATTTCCATGGCCTCTAATGTATGTGTTAACCATAGGTGTTAAATTTTTGGTTTTGTGGCTGGGAGAAAACTAATAGCTACATGTAACAAGGATTTCTTCAGTAAGTCGTTTAGTTCAGCCAGTTCAGCCAGTTCAGCTCTGCCCAACTTTTATTTTTTATAATTTGTTAATGAATCTGTTATTTTTTATATTTGTTTAATGGCAGGAGTAGTTGAAACACCACTGGGTAGCAAGACAGTTGTATTTGCACTGATGAAAGTGCCAAACATCCACAAAAATCGTATTCTTATTTGCATATTTGAAAACAAATGAGCTGAGTTCAAAGTGGGTGTGTAAATCTTGAACCACTTTGCACTCACATGAACCAAACATTTTTGTTTTGCACTCTACAAATTTATATTCGAACTCCTTCCAAATGCAGCCTAAACGAAAAATCTAGTATGCAAAATACACAAATCTATCTCCTTTTTCCTTGGGACCAACTCGAGTCTAGATTTGCTGGAAAGACGATTGTAACAAACAACAATGGGCACATTCATAGATTTGTGTAACTTGCCCTCTACACTTGAAAGGCCTTAAAATTGAAAGAGAAATGCATCTTGCTACCGTGTCAAGTCCTGGGCCATAGAAGTTGCAGAATATTTGTTAAAAAGGAATTTGCGAAGCACCCCTGTTGATCACAGAAGGATCAACTTTTTTCAAGAATGGTTCCTGAATAGGCCAAGCAAAGCATAGCATAGCAGCCATTGCGAATCCAGAATGCTGAAAAAACCAGACCCTTTTCACAGGGACGAGGATGCTGTCACTAGGAACTTTTTTTATTTTTATTAATTAGTTATTTCTTTGGGTAAATTACAAAGACCCTCTTGTACGGGTCTGTGACAAAGACCCCCTGTACTTTGTTTTGGGACAATGACTCCCCTGTATTATGACCGTGAGACAAAGACTCCTTTCCATTAGATTTCCGTTGAAATCTGTCATTGCAATATTCATACTACCTTTGTAATAACTATTCAGATAAGTGGGAGAAAGTACTGTTCATCTTCCTTGACCTCATGATACATGAACAACAGTGGCAGTAATCCTTTCTACCTCAGATTCCTTCACATCTCTCTCTCTCCCCCGATCTCTCTTCTTCCCATTCCCCTTTCATCTTCTCGCTTTCCTCTGTTTTTCGTTCCTCTTGGCCATAGCTGCCACAACTCATTGCAGCTGCTAATTCGATGTTGAGGAGTAGATTCCAATTCTCTCATTATATTGGATAAAAAGTAGTAATATTGAGGGAGGCAGCAACTCATTGCAGCGGCTAATTCGTTGTTGAGGAGCAGATTCCAATTCTCTCATTATATTGGATAAAAAGTAGTAATATTGAGGGAGAAATTCTGAGAAAAAAACTGCTAATCCATCGGATGCTGCTTGAGTGCTACCATAGACAAGCTCGAAGGAAAGTGATCGGATCAGCATGTTGCTCGGGCAGCCGTCGGTTAACTTCAATCAGTATGGAGGTTATGTCACGGTGGATGGATCTGCTGGTTGGGCTCTTTTCTACTACTTTGTTGAAGCTCCGGATGCCATGTCCAGACCTCTTGTTCTTTGGATCAATGGAGGGGTTTTGATAACAAATTTTTAATGGGTTTAATTTTCTGGGTTCATGCTATAAACATTTCTTCATTACAGTGATTTGAGTGTTTTTATTGTTTTAACCATTTTCAAGGTCCTGGGTGTTCTTCACTTGGAGATGGGGCAATGGCGGAGCTTGGCCCGTTCAGAGTGCAAAGCGATGGCAGAACACTTTATTGAAACCCATATGCATGGAATCAAGGTTGTTGAATAATTCAGTTGATCATTTTTCTCTTTTGGTCTCTCTTCCTTTTAGAGATTCTAACCTGATCTTAGTTAGTTTCCCATTTCTGTTAATTAATCTTATTCTTGTTGTGGTTTCTAGTGGCCAATGTTTTGTTCCTGGAGTCTCTTACTGGTGTACATTTTTCCTACTCCAACACAAGTTCCAATTACAGTACAAGAGGAGATCAAAGTACAGCTGAGGATAATTGTGTTTCTGGTGAATTGGCTAGAGAGATTCCCCGAGTACAAGACCAGAGATTTCTATGTTGTTGGAGAGAGGTATGTTGGGCAATGTGTGCCTCAGCTTGCCAATGCAATTCTTCAAAACAAGAATGAAGGAATGAACAATATCAATCTTAGAGGGATCATGGTCCGAGTCTCTCACTTTCTCTTTCTCCTGGGTTAAAACGAGGATAGAGAATTGGTTTTATGGTATCTGATAGGGCTGTTCACAAAATTGTAAAAACCGAGGCCGAACCGATCTGATTCAACCCGATTTATTCGATTCTCAAAAACAATCAATTGGTTTCGGTTTGAAAAACTTTAGAACCCGATCATTTTGGTTTGGTTTCGAGTTATGATTTTATAAACCGAATCAAAACCAATCTGAACTGATGTAAGAATAAAAGCTTCAAATTTTGTACAATATTGTCTTTATTTGTGTCAGGTGTCAGAAAAATCAATTAATTTTTTTTTCTTTTGTTATTTGAATAAGATGTTGGTCACTCGTCTCCCTCTCCCAATCCAATAAAAGTTAACATCAAGCTCGATCAAGTTACTTCTATTGTTTAATTTTTTATTTGATTATTTCAACCTTTTGCATAAAATAGTGAAAATTTTCACATAACAAATCCCATCTTTTTATTGAAAAGCGTGTTTTCGTCCAAAATATCATCATTCAAAAGGAACTCAATTAAATGCATGCAGGGACAATCAAAAGTCACTTTGGTTCGATTTATTTCAAACTGAACAAACCGACATTAATTAAAAACAAAATCCAAAGTCGGTTTTTCTCTCATATCGATCGATTTCAGTTGTTATTAAAATTAACCTGACAAATTCGGTTCGATTCGTAAAATTAACTAAAACCAATTCATTGGCAATCCATTGATCAATGGGGAAACCGACATGAGGGGCATATATGACTTCCATTAGACACATGCTGCATTTCTGATCAGACCAATAACGCTATTAATAGTTACTGCTATGCCAGTTATCAGTCTGAATAGTGCAATTACGCCATGAATCAGGCTAATGCATCTGTCAATTCGATCGATATCTACATCTATGCCCCCAGTGCAATTGTGCTTGTCGGCTGAGCATCCAGACAATGAGTTTTGGCTGCTATGGCCGAGAGGCACGAAAACAGGGGAAAACGGGAAAAAGAAAGGGGAGGAAAGAAAGGGGAAGGGGAAGAGAGATCGGAGGAGAGAGGGAAATGTGAAAAAATTTGAAATATAAGGAATTATCGCCGCTACTGTTTGTGTATCGTGAAATCGAGAAAGGTGAACAATGTTTTTCTCTCACTTGTTTGAATAATTATTACAAAGGTAATATAGAAATTAAAAAATATTAGTACGTGGGAGTCTTTGTCGCAAAACAAAGTACAAGATATCTGTCACATACCCCATAGTACAGGGGGTCTTTATAATTTATCCTGTTTCTTTTTGCGATGGATCAGGGAAATTGATCGATTCAAATGCGTAATGCCATCTGCTATACCGTATAGAACGAGCTACGAAAACCCAAGAATAAGAATCCTTTTTGAGAATATAAAATCAAAGAACCCTAATTATCCAAATAAATATATGAATAAAAACACACTCATTTTTAGCTTAGTTTCATACTCTGTAATCAATAAGATAATCAACAAATCAATGTCAGTTCAGATTTCAGTTAGTAGTTCAAGACTCATCTTATGCAAATTCTCACAAACCTTTAGCTCATCATTGCTTAAATCAAGTTAGGACAATAGTTGGTAAACATGTATTCACGGCATAAAAAATAGGAAAGGTTCATTCACAGTTTAGCCTTTAAGAATGAAAAATGCGCTTAACTTCATTCACAGTTTGTCCTCTTGCCGCTCTTTCCTCATCTTTTTTAATCATGTCATGTCGTTCGCACCTGCCACTTAACTAATATTTCCAATAAGAAATTTGAAATAAAAACTAAAAATACACCTTATATGTATTGTGGTATCAGGTCCACCTAGCCATACTTATATTAATGGTGTTTGGAACCATAGGCATAGGTGTTTTTTCAATAAATGCTGCCACATAGGCACCACTTCAGCATTTAACCTATTATGCTAATCCATACACAGACTCACAAAAACTGACATTGATTTATATGCACACTTACCATCGGAGGGAAGCTAACACTTCCCCCAACGATTAGGCATTTATTCACTGTTATACTGATGTGGTGCTTAATGACACCTAATTGTCAATAAACGGTTTCACTATTACTTTTCTCAATTTTGCAAACAAATCAACAGTTAGCACATGACTCACAGCTCCTCCACTTATCAAGCTCAACGGACTAAAGATAAGAACTAACGAACGTTATTCAAACCTCCACCCAACCCTAAAGTATCAGCTAAATTAATCTTGTCTCTAACACCTTGAGCTTGCTTTCTTACTAATACTAGATATGAGGGAAAAAAAAAAAAGAAAAAAGGTTTCCTTTTCATCCTATCAGTGACAGATTTTGAAATAGATATGATGACTAAAAAAGTGCAAAGTAGGTATTCATGGTGTGACCGCATAAGTAGCATACTTTAGCAGTATTTCTGGACTTCAGCAAAAGAGTCAAGTTACCACACCCACAATTTGATGTCCTCTTGTCTCTAAAAGGAAACGAGAAACCACAAGGTTGGAATAACACGAAATACGAGTCCATAGAAAACAACTAGATCATGACATGGTTTTACAAGTTTGACTTCTTTCTTTTAGAGATCTCAGTGAATAAGATACTAAATACACCAATTAAACCATGCAAAAACTACCCTCCACATCAAAGAAGAGATGAAACGGACCACATAAATGGCATGCAACAAGCACTACGGATTGGTCATTCCATCCTGCTTAGCAATATCCACAATCAGCATCTTGACTCAATAGTTTCAACAATAGGCAAGTAAATAAGCCTAACCAAAGCACCAATTAAAAAAATTTCTTTGTAAACATGGTATGAAGTGGTAAAAAATGATTTATCATTTAAGGACTCATCTTCTAAAAAGAAATAAAAAAGATTTAAGGACTTATAATCTGACAGAAATTATGGCTCTTGATAGCGGTATCCTAGAGCATAGTGGCAGGACGGGATTCGTGTATCCAACCTCAAATGGTTGGGACTAAGGCTGAGTAAAGTTGTTGTTATGGCTTTATGACAATGCACTAAAATTTATTTATTCTAATCTGTATCTCGAAGAGGCAGTCTCAAATTTTTTACTAAGTAGTGAATAAAAGAGACATCCTCTGTTTTCTACAAATTTATTCTTGAAAGCTAATCCTCCTCCAATGGCACAGTCAGTGACATTAATCACTCTATTAGCAATCAGTAACAGGCATCATGCATGATGGCTACTTTAATTGCCCAATCAATGGCTCATGACCTCCCTAACAAAAAGAAATTTTATCTATCCACTCTACTGTAATAACAACCTGTCAAAGCAAAGCCATGACTATGGTAACCGCCACCTGAAACCCCTAGTGCTCATGCCATTGCTCATATAAAGCATCACCATACCTTTACTTCAAGATTATCAGAGGTACACAATGATAAAACTTATAGCTCCATGTATTCACATAAAAAAGATAGAAACACATAACATATCTTCTTTTTGATCAGCACGAAACACATAACATATCTCACCTGAGGAAGGAGCATCTACTCTCAACTCAATATCTTCAGCAAACAAGTAAAAGTTATTACGACTGAACTATGACTAGTGAAAGCAATAGAATGCTTTGAAAGGAATAAAGTCGCATCCTATTTCACACCAATGCCACCTTGTTAGCTGTACAAATCGAAATTTACTTCTATCCTGCCATAAATCCTGGAATCGCTGACCAGAAATTACTAAAGCTTCTAGTTAATTAAAAACTAAAATTTCATATATACTCCATCCAAATACCAGCAAAAAATATAGTCCATCCAAACTCCCACAAGTTGATGATAAAGACATTTTTTGGTAAATATGAGATAGAAACTTAGTACATACTTTATTCTAAGGCCACTTCAACTCTCAGATGTAATAGTCAAACCACTTGCCTCTACTATTGAGGTAAAAGAGGCATAAGTTAGCTTGTGCAACATTCTCAAGCTTATCCTTTCTCCGGCTTTAAAATCTGAAGTATGGTCACAGTAACTGAACATTCAAGTAACTGAAGTCTGAAGACATACAATCAAATCATTACTTTAAGTTGCCCACTGCAATACTTGTGAAGCATTTATACCAAAACTCATTGGGAAGAAAAAAAAAGAAACAGCCAAGAAAATAAATGGATCTAAATTAAAGCGAATCAAGATTATATGTTGTCATCTATAGATCTCTATTTAGTATATCCATCAATGTTGACTATCTCTATTTCTGTGCATTAACTGAGGTGTATCAAAAGTCCAATTCATTAATGTTAAGAAACATACTACGCATTTTTCAAAATTAGAACCTCTTTCAACAAAACATCATTTATTCACTCAAGCTCTTATTTTGTCATTGTAACATCATATTTGCACCAATACACTACCTAGATTCAGGAGGGTGTTGCTGCACATGAGTTGTAGCTCATAACTAGTAGCCACAAATGAAAAACAGTTAGAGATCTTGTTGTATGACATGGAGCTTCAAGAAATTCCAGAAAATCAATGTTACCAGATGCTTGAATATATATTCTTTGATGTGAACGATACTGACTCCCTAGCAGTCTAACTTCCATATACATGCCATATCCTTGACATATCTGGGCAAGAACATATTTTTTCTTTTTTCCTTTTTTTTTTGATCTCGGGACTATTCTAAGACCAATAGATCCTATTCAGAGTTTGAACTTGCATAAGACATCTAAACTTTTGGATACCAAATATTGAACACCAACAATTAAACTTTTATCCAGTGTTCTAAAACTTATAACATGCAGTAATGTTTGCCTGGTCCACATGGGAATTGAGATCCTTAAACTGATGATTCAACTCCTGGCTTACACACAAATGCACCTTTCTCCCTACTTCCCTTTGTTATTTCTGCGGCTGCAATTAATTGATCTTGGTTTTGCTGTTATTGCATCAACAGTAGTTAGGAACTTAGGATGTGCCCAGTCAGCAGCTTACCTTACATCCCCTAAACCTACCATTCCCACTGCTTTTGCTCTCTCTTAATATAAACTCAAAAGATCATTAATCAATGCTTTGTCGCTATTTTCTACTAGTTCAGTTTTATTCACTTGGAAATTATTCTCAGCTTCTGGTAGTATGTTCTATCACAAGATCAAATGTTATAAATTTTTTTCACTTTTGCTAGTATGTTCTCTGTGTGTGTGTGTGTAATCCTCAACAACACAAAGTAATACAATAATTACAAAAAAAAACAAGTATATATATATATATATATAAGCATTCCCTTTATAAAAGCGCGTGGATAGAAAAGGAAAAGAAAAAGAATTCCCTACCAACCGAATGCATCACGAAATTCATTTTAGGCAGGAGAAATTTGAATAGCCCTGGCAGGTGGATTACAGAAGCCCTTGAGTAAAGAAAAGGAAACATCTACGGGGCGGCAAATCAATGAAGAAGCAGGCCAAGTAATTGTGACTATTAAACTTGAAAAAGAGCCTAAAGAGAACATTGGCTGGATAAACTTAAATCTAAATATTCAAATAAGAATTGTCGATTTCTTGGAGAGCATCCCTCTATTTTACATTGTCATAGTCTCATTGCACTGAGAAAATCAGCGAAGTTGATTTTTCCACTCAACTATTCAAATCGTTGTCAAAGATGAGTTCCCGAACCAATCCGTTATCAATAAAGAAAACATAAACCAGGATCCTCCAGCAAAAAAGAAAAGCATAAAAGATCAAAAGGGAAATTGGGAATCATCTACAAAGGCCAACCAAGACCTACAATCATGACCAAAATTTCGGATATAGAGGTGACTCGCTCAAGTTGAATACAACAAGTAAAAGCAAGTCGATCAACAAACGCAAATTGAAGGGCTTCGGCCATACATCCTACATCATTTAGTCAGCCAAAACCAAATTCAAGAAAATTGAAGGGAAAAAAAAAACAGAAGAACAAAATAGAACAACTCTAAAAACTGCAAACTACCGTACGCAAATAAGCTTGAAACAAGAAGGGACTTTACAGTGCCAAAAATCCGTATTATCCAAAAACCAAGAGAGGCCTAATCGCAGCTGTTTTAAGATGGAGAAGATAAGATGTTCGAATCTTGAATCAAGCTCCGGCACCAGATCTGTAGCGGTAGAGCTTACCAAAGACGTGGAGAGCGGTGACGAAGCCGATGAAGCAGAGGCTCATCACGAGGACGACGGTGGGAGTTATCTTCAAGCCAGGGGCGTCGTCAGTATAGAACCTCAGCATGTTGCTTCCGCTCCCGCCAGCGCTAAACCCGCCGGAGCTGCCTCCAGAAGTACCTCCGAGCCTCCTGCGCCGCATCCCTGCCGTTGCGGCAGCAGATCCGCGCGGCGCTATGCCGACGGTGCCTGGCCGAGCCGACGATGAAGACGAAGCCTGAGACTGAGATGCACCCCGCGCCATTTTGGTTGTTAATTCTTCTTGTCGTGGAAGTTGGATTCCCGAAACGAAACAGCGAGAGAAAGGGAGAGAGGGAGGTTGGGTATTTGAGTGCTGCTGCCTGCTGGTTCTGGTGAGAGAGGGGAGGATTGATTCTGGACCTGGTAGTTGTTTGGGTCTCTTCACTTCACCTGCTAACTGCCTTGATAAATTGTCTAGTGTAGTAAATGCTTAATCCGTTGGATACGAAGTGATGTACGGCAAGTGGAGGAGGATACTCGGTGACAGTCCTCAGATTAGAATATCGAGATGCAATGCCATACCTTGGAGGCCCACATGGTTAGGGTTTGGACTTTGGAGGTCGGCTAGCGGTCCTTATAAAACCCGTTCTAATAGCCATTACAGCCTCCTATTAATAATGCCTCTGTTAAGGTCTAAACAAACAGACGCTGTTAACTTAGTTAAAGTCCAGTTGTTATAGATCGTTTTAAACAATTAAAACTGTTGAAACTGATTTGTAACCTCATCGCGGATAGAGGGACGTCACCTCATCGCAGCTTGCACTTTGTCTAAATATTTCTCACCACGGAGTAAAACCCTGGTTTCCTAGTTCTTGATCATCAGTCTTCCCTCTCTTTGCTTTTCTTGGTTTCCTGATATGTGGCTAAAATGACTACAAAATTGAGCTTCGTTGGCGACATCAATTCATTCACAGATTCGTCATCATTATATTTTCTTCATCCATCGGATAATTCTGGTACAGTACTAGTATCGTTCTTGCTGAACGGAGAAAATTATCCAACTTAGAGATGTGCAATGATCAACACTCTCAGTGTCAAGAATAAGATCGGATTCGTGGACGGAATGATAAATAAACCGGACCTCAGATCGACGGAAGTGAGAGCTTGGTCGAAATGCAACAGCATGGTGATCTCGTGGTTGTTTAATGGCCTGGCATGAGTATTACACCAAACTGTTACCTACATTGAAACAACATGAGAAATCTGGCTTGGAGCAGAGATTTTCTCAAGGGAATGCTCCACAGATTATTCATTTGAAACACGAATTGGCTGTTCTGCGCCAAGAAAACCTCTCAATCGCATCATACTACACCAAGATGAAAGGGATTTGGGATGGACACTATCTATACCCCAATCTCAGTCTACGCCACCTGTGGGGCAAAGGATCTCATCGCAGAAAAGGTCTATCAGTTCTTGATGGGCCTCAGAGATTTTTTTAATATTATACAATCAAACATTCTGAGCATGGAGCCATTACCACCAATCACCAAGGTCTATGCATTGATTGCCCAAGAAGAGAACCATCAATTGTTCTCCAATTCTTGCCCTCCAACCCCCGAAGCTGCTGCTTTCTTTTCTTCTGGTTCAAAGAACCCATCCACAAGATAGAAAAAATGGTCCAAGATTCGCTATGACCACTGCAAGAAACAGGGTCACAGCAAGGATCGGTGTTATGAACTGGTTGGGTACCCTCCAGGATGAGAGGAAGGCAAATCACAAGCAAACAGAGCAAATAACGACCAGAACACCAAACACTCTGTAAATCAGACATTGTTCCTTCTCCTAGGGCTAGTAGTGGCGCTTCCCTTGTTCCTGGACTATCTTTTGAACAATACCAACAACTCATTACCTTCCTAGGTGTGAGTAAACATGCAACCTCAGCCTCCAATTTTACTGGTAAGTCTTTGGATCCCTGTTCAATCTTGAACGCTGAATGTTAGCTGCTAGATAGTGGTGCCTCGGACCACATGAGTCCCGTTACAAATATTTCTGATCAAAGCCAATCCATAATGGTTGGAAGGGTAATTCATCTACCTGATGGCACAAAATTAATCACCGAATCTCATAGCTCTGTGAACGTAACACCTGAGATTCAGTTGAAAGATGTTTTGTTCATTCCTGGTTTCAAGTGCAAATTACTATCAATCACCAAGATCACTTCTCAATGAAATTGTGTGGAAAATTTGTTTTCAACCTTCTGTGTATTACAGGACCCGATCTCCAAGAAAGTGATTGGGCTCGGCAAGATATGTGACGGTCTTTATCACTTTGTATCGGCCACACAATTGGCAGCCTTACACTCCTCATGTTCAAATCTTGATGCCTCTTTTAGCCTTTGGCATTCAAGATTGGGGCATGCATCTTATGAATGACTAGCCTTGATTCCAGCAATACAACTGTTGGCACATATTGGTGAACAATGTTGCGACACTTGCTTAAAGGCTAAACAACATCGTTTACAATTTCCTATTAGTACTACTAAATCTAATAGTTGTTTTGAGATAATACATGTAGACATTTGGGGTGGTTATCGAACTCCTTCCTTGTCAAGTGCTAGATACTTTCTCACAATTGTAGACAATCATTCTCGTGCTACTTGGGTCTATTTGATGAACTATAAATCTAATACATACATGTATTTCGTCAGGGACTATGCAATGTTTCTTTAATGAGCATGGCATTCTCCATCAGCGTTCTTGCGTAGACGCTCCCCAACAGAATGGAGTAGCAGAACGGAAGCATCGTCACCTTGTAGAAGTTGCTTGAGCACTAAACTTTCAAGCCAATCTCCTTATACGATTATGGGGAGAATGCATTCTCACTACCACCTACATCATCAATTACCTCCCTAGTCCAGTCTTGAAGGGTAAGACACCATATGAATTACTGTATCACCAAACACTCACCTATGATCACTTTAGAACATTTGGCTGCCTCTGTTATGCCAGTACACTACGGCAAGGTAGAGACAAATTTGTTCCACGTGCTCAAAAATGTTTCTTGGTTACCCTCATGGACAAAAGGGATATCGTGTATATAGTTTGGAAGAGAACAAATTGCTTGCCTCGTAAGACATTCGCTTCTTTGAAGATCAGTTTCTATATTAGAATTCTATCACTAGTGACATACAAAACCCGGTCATACCATTGCCAGCATCGGATGGTGCTACATCTGAACTACTACAGTCCAGTGATCATTCATCTAGAGACAATCACGATACAACTCATCCCACCATTGATCATCCATCTGAAATACCAACTATTGGTAGCATCTCCACCAATATTCCCTTTCGACCTAGGAGGGAGCATCGACCTCCAGCACATTTATCGGTCTATGATTGTCCAACAATTCATGCTTCAAAGGTTCATTTAGCCACTCCTGATCCACCTAAAGTCACCAACAATATTCCTAACCTGGAACCCACCACATATCAACAAGCATGTAAATTTGATCACTAGAGAACAATAATGACAGCCGAGTTAACAGCCCTTAAAGCCACTCAAACCTGGACACTGACTAACCTACCCAGCAACAAATCAACTGTGAGTTGTAGATGGGTCTTTAAGGTAAAGACAAATCCTGACGGTAGCATCGAACGCTACAAAGGTGCATCTAATTGCAAAGGGATACACCCAAATTGAAGGCGTAGACTACACAGAAACATATGCGATGGTAGCAAAATTGGTAACTATGAGATGCTTATTAGCCCTTGTTGCGGCCCGCCATTGGCATCTACATCAAATGGATGTAAATAATGCCTTTCTGCATGAACAGTTGCATGAATAAGTGTACATGAATCCACCACTCGGACTACTCCCACCAAGAGATAATCGGGTCTACAAACTCAACAAATCCATTTATAGCCTTAAGCAGGCCTTCCGCAACTGGTTCGACACATTGGATAGTGCCTTGAAGAAACGGGGTTTCAGTCAATCTAAGGCTGACAACACTCTGTTCACCCTCCACAAATCCGTTCATTCCCTCATAGTATTAGCCTATGTTGATGATCTTGTGCTAGTTGGTGATGATCTCAATGACATTGAGAGTCTTAAGAAATACCTCGGCAACTGTTTTCCTATTAAGGATCTTGGAGCGCTCCATTACTTCCTTGGAGTTGAGGTCATCAGGACACTTGAATTCATTTTTCTTAATCAACGAAAATATCTCAAAGGAATCCTTGAAGACACGAACATGATGGATTGTCGACTTAGTTCATTTCCTATGGAACAACACCACCATTTGCAGCCCAATACTAGCCCTCCAATTAAAGATCCAACACAATATCAACGCCTTGTGGGCAGATTGTTGTATCTAACCATCACAAAACCTGAAATCAGCTATTCAGTCAACACACTCAGCCAATTCATGTCTGATCCTCGGCAAGCACACCTCGATGCAGGAATGCACATCTTGCGGTATCTCCGATCTTCTCTAGACCATGGGATATTATTGTCGTCTTATAGCGATTTCACAATTATAGCTTATTGTGATTCGGATTGGGCATGATGCCCCACCACAAGGCGCTCGACCATGGGATACTTCACCACCTTGGGCTTCTCTCCTCTGTCATGGAAATCCAAACGACAATCCACTGTCTCTCGCTCCTCAACAGAAGCCGAATATCAATCCATGGTGGCCATAGCAAGTGAGTTGGTTTGGCTCAAACAGTTATTCTTGGATCTTGGACTTGACCATTCACAACCTATGCAACTTTTCTACGATAACAAGGCAGCGCAACACATTGTGGCAAATCCAAATTTTCATGAATGGACCAAGCACATCGAAATAGATTGTCACTTCGTATGGGACCTCATTCAATCACAGTCCATTACTACAGCTCATATTTCTTCCAAGGGACAACCTACGGGCATATTCACCAAAGCACTTGGTCATAATCAATTCCACTCCTGCTTACCCAAGTTAGGCATCCATCCACCTCCCACTCCAACTTAAAGGGGGGCATGTTAAGGTCTAAACAAACAGACAGTTGTAGATTGTTTAGACAACTGTGAAGTTGTTAAATTAGTTAAAGTCTAGTTGTTAGATCATTTTAAACAATTAAAACTGTTAAAACTACTTTGTAACCTCGTCACAAATAGAGGGATGTCACCTCATCGCACCTTGCACTTTGTCTATAAATATTTTTCATCACAAATTAATAGAGCGAACTTTTTCCCTTCATTCTGAAACATCTCTTATTACAGTCTCCGTACTTGTATGCTTTATTTCTGGAGAGATATTTCTAATGTACTAAAAATTGCATTATTTATTTTTGTATTAGATGAAATCCTTTGTATAAAGGAAAGCCCCAAGCCCAAGGCAAAAGTTCATTCATTTCGTCATCTAGTTCTAGCAATATTTTTGTGCTCCATTTGGGAATTCGGAGGGCTAAGCTTAACATTTAACTTAGCTGATGGTTCAGCTGTTCTGAGGCGCTTCCTACAAACAGACAAACTATGTTAAAAAATGTCCAATTTTAGGCTATTGGGATTTTTCCCCCGCAAATATAGCTCAAGATTATCCATTCATTTATAGCGCTTCAGCTTAGGGGTGTAATTGAGCCAAAAAAAAAAGGCAGTTGAGCCGAACTGAATTGATGCATTGCACGAGCTCAATTCAAAAGCTTGTTACTTGAAACATGATTATAACTCGATTAAGTTTTGTTTTTCCTATCGAATTTGATTCGACGAGATACTTGACGTACTTGAATACCAACTTCACTCTATAATTATAGAAGATGGAGAACAACAGAGAGAGGGTGGATTTCTGGTTGCTGGTCGGAGATGGAGAAGCTTTGGTGGAGGTGAAGATCAACAATATTAGCTCATAGAATAGAGGTGGCAGTAGAGATGTAGAGTGAAAACTAGAATATCTTTATTTTTGAATTTGATTTCTCTCATATGTGTTATTTAAATAATTAGTTCTCTCCTCATTCAAATCTCTTTCATTAAGCCTTATATTTAAGGTATTAATTCTTATTAACATTTATTGAATGTTATTGATTAGAATACCACTATTTTTGAAATTGGATTCTCCCTTGTGAGGGCACAAAATGTAATTTAAAGTACCCTATCATTAAGTCTTATATTCACAGTATTAATTCCCATTCTTTTAATGAGTGCTATATTAATTAACCATATTAAAGAAAAATAAATGTGACAAATAATAATTATTTTTAGGGTAAATTTCTTAAACTATCCCTACTGTTTAGCTAATTGACAAACTGTATCCTTACTATTTAATTATTGTCTTAAACCACCCCTATTGTTTCTGAGAATTGACTAATTATATCCTCGTTAATGTTCCCTCAAAATTCGTATGCACATGAGTATATATATTTTTTTTAAAAAATCCAATATTACCAAAAACAATGTTCCAAAGCTTGCCTAAAACCAGAGCTCGCCTGAAATAGGGTTGGCTGCATGCATCTCGAACCAAAATGGAATTATTGTTCACTAGTGACGACTTTGATGACTCAAACAAACCACACATTCTCTTCACAAACCCATCTTGGACTAGGAATGGGTAAGGTTGGGGATCTCAAATGGAAGCAGAGACGACGGCCATCCAAACCTTTTCTCTTTCCCCTTCTTCTTCGAACGCAGCTCAGCTCCCCTGTTTTTTCCTCTACATTGTTGGGTTAGGGGGAAAACGACCGCTATAGTTGCATCATTGGGTTGGGGGATAATGGTCGTTGGCTTGCATGCGAACCATGACAACATTAACTAGGTTGCCGATGACGGAAGCTTGTTTGAGCGATTTTGATCCCAACAGAAATGGGGCCAACGTGCAGTGTTGGAGGTGATGGTGGTGGCGCGTGGATAGCAGTTTGGGCAACAACAGTATCAATCGACAGAACCTTTAATGGAACAAACGCAATAGCATCTGCTCTCGTGCTCTATTACAATATCACGAATCCAGACAAGTTCAATCAACTCTACTACTCCAATTCATCCCACATCTTACTCTTCCCTCCACCACCATTGAATACCCTCCACTACACCAACCTCTCTCTTAATCTCCCATTTACCTCAATCCCTGATTCACAACCATCGACAAGAAAGGAAGATGCACTAACGCAGAGAGAGACAAGAGGGAAGAGAGGAAGAAGAAGAAGAGAAAGAAGGAGGGGAAGAAGAGAAGAAGAAGAAGGAGAGAGAGAGAGACCAGAGGCAGAGGGGGTTGCTGCCGCCAGCGTTCGGGATCGTGAATTCAAAGTGTTAGACAGTTTTGTGTGCCCTTAGCTTCAATCATTTTGATGTACTTTTGTTATTTAGTGGAAATAAATAAAGTGCATGTTTGATTCATGTTGTTTGGT